CAACATATATGGGACACGGATGATTAGTCCGAGATTTACACGTGTTAACACATATTTACAATCACAGTTAACATAGTCGGCACGTGCTTCCTTCAACACCGTTAACAAGCGACATTGCCGTGGGATAGGGACAGTTTCATAATGTCGATTACGTAGTACATTAGTTAGTTAAACTTGTATTATGAATTTCTTCCCTAAATTTATGTTGCAAAATAATCGACTTGCCAAAGAAAGATCAGAAAAATTGAAACAACCGTTGAGAAAAAGGATATTATGTCTACATTACTACATTGTTATTATAAATCGTAGGCTGCTTCAAAATTGTGCCCACTACGTTATAGACCGATTTGGGCAGGCCAACTTCGTTATGGGTCAAGAACGTTTATTGGGAAAATATGCTTTAAGCCGAGTAGTCAATGTATCTCTAAACCAGTCGATTGTATTTTTTGCAATGTCCTAGACTTGAAATAACAAATTTAGCTTTCCTTAAATATTCTGTTCTCATATGGATTGCCTTTATTAAAAAATCCAAATCGGAAAGCGACATCTTCACATTTAGAGAGTATACGTTCACGCTAAACAATATATATTTCCTTCGTATTATATCTATGTTGATGGCAAATACTCTATTATTCATACTAGAATTAGAAACCAAAGTAACAACCTAAAAAGAGGATAGTATCACAATCGCTTGATAGATAATCCCTTATGCAACTGTTGCAGGGAAACATAAATGCAAATCAATATATTTTCATCTGCACAATATATGTTACAAAGGTCAATGCAGATACTTATTCATAATAAAATGTGGTTCCAGTCCCTATGTGATTGTGAATACGATTTTTAACGTAGCTTTAACAGTTTTTCAGTCATATCGCTACAATGTCTGCAGTGTTGCAGTTTATATTGATGTCTAGCACTGGGACATCATGAATCAGTCATGTAGCATGATGTCCCACCCGGACACCAGGCCTACTAGTTCGAACACTAACCTTTTAATGCTGAGCACCAAGCCAGTAAATTGTTGGTACCATTTTTATAAGACTTTGGTATGACTAGACCGGGGAACGAAGAACCCACGTAATGATACGAGTCATTTCAACTAAAGTTTCTTCCTTAGATTCTGAATATAAATCAAATGTGTGTATATATATATATATATATATATATATATATATATATATATATATATATATATATATATATATATATATATATATATATATATATATACACATACATACAATATTCCTATATTACACACAATATGTTATTACCTTCGAAGTTTGGTAACATCGTTGTTTTCTTAGTTTAAATATATCTCTTCCTTTTTCCTTTTCTGGAACATTTTTATCATGTCGAATTTAATCATGTTATGTTTGTCTTTTTTTGTTTGTTTTCATTATACCAATCTTTTCCTTTCCACTGCTGCCTGTCATGTTTGATTAATTTTTATTTATGTGTTTTTAAGGAGAAGAATTTATCTAATGTTGCGATAACTTGTATATGTATATGTATATGTATATGTATATGTATATATATATATATATATATATATATATATATATATATATATATATATATATATATATATATATATATATATATATATATATATAATCGTTCGATGAATATATTCTAGGAGGAATGGATGGGCAGATTTTGATTTTAAACATTATTGTCCTTCAAACTAGCTAGTGTTTAGGTATTCTATCATTTCGAATGGAAATATAATAATATACTGGATATCTAAGTACCTCATTTGTGTCCGGTCAGCAATTGACAGTTACTGAAACCATTTCACCTCTTGCTTTAGTTACGTCACGACCTTTTCCATCACGGTAATTTGTCAGATATTAAGTAGAAGATTTTACTGTCGCAAATTACTTTGTTGGTAGGCAGTGACACAAATGTAAGTTCAAGGTTACAAAGAAGCTTTTCAGAGTAAATAATTCGCTTATGTTCCAAGTCATATGTGGAATTTGACAATGAACGACTCTATCATATGTGACCTAATTCAGAGACAAGTTTCTTTTACCTTTCCACGTATAGTTTGTTGCTTTATAGTCCATAAATTGTGTTTTATTTTCTTCTTCTGGAGTTTTGATTCTGATGTTTGTAAGCATTTTCCCCTTATTGTTTTATTTATTTTGTGTTTAAAGATACAAAAATGTACAATAAATTATTTAGCAGAACAGCAAGTTTCCAAAGACCGCCATTATTGAACCTTCACAAAGGAGCTATCTCTAGATTATCTTTTTTGCTGGAAACTGGTTAAAATTTGCGAATATGTGATGCAAAATCTAGCACAAAATATCTGGTAGCAAGTTTTCAGATTAAGTACTGAACGAGAAATCTGACATTGAAAGAAATTTAATATAAATAGAAGCTTGAAATCATGCTTTAAGAAAACCAACGTGTAATAAATATTGCATTTTAAATTATCATTGTAAAAATGTCAAGCATTTTTCGAAAATCACAAGGTAGCGGTCTATGTGAAGGGACTAGTTTCAAATGCTTAATCTGCATAAAAGGTCAGCAAGTTTACCTGTCGCTTCCCATTAGTCGGTGGTTCATTCCAGAATCTTCGTTCACCAAATATGCTTGACGTCATGTGTGACAAATCATATACTGAAAATAACGCTAAGCCGCACAAAACCAAAACACAATTGAAATTAAATTAGAGCACCTTAACCATTATGCATTTTCTGAAACAGGAGGTATGCTATTCTGTTGTAGACAACGCTGTGGGTTTGGCTGTAGAACTAACTGTACCATGTGCTGTCACCTGTTCTACATCAGGATCATTGGCACGAATTTGAGAGAGAGAGAGAGAGAGAGAGAGAGAGAGAGAGAGAGAGAGAGAGAGAGAGAGAGAGAGAGAGAGAGAGAGAGAGAGGAGAGAAAAAATATCGCGCGTAATAATAAATTCGAATATTTTTCTTTGTTTCCGCTTATGTTATGCAAAAGTATCAAATATAATACAACAGCAAACAACTTATAATAAGAGTTTTAATCAAATTTATAATGCCCACCATCATTAAAATTAAAGTCTATGAAAGGCTGGGGAAAAATCAGGGCAGTGCAAGGTAATGATGGAAAATGAATCAACCTATCACTGTTAATACGATTTAGCACCGTATATTAGGAATTATGCACACTTATTAAACAGACACGTTTGACATCGCTGTGTAGCATGATATTGCATACATTTCTGTCCAATATAACTGAAACCTCTAAGGGATTATTTTTTCTGTCGCTGACTTATACAATATTGATATTGTGCAAATAAGGTACGTGTTCAGAAAGCCTAATTGACTACTGTAACAATATTGAACTTTATGCTAGAAATATCCATTTTCATAGATCTATGTGCATGTAATTTAATATATAAAATAAAGAATATAGTGTATAGGGAAACGTATATATCCAGGTCGTTGTCACTTGATGTGCCCCTGCATAACATAGAAGATGCAGGGTGTTATCTGCGTTGGGTCCGTTGTCAATATTATGGCTCTTTTTGTATGAAGTTGTGCCATAATGTTATCGATAACAGTAACTTTTGAATACCAAATAGCCGTCTCCAGACACCACACAAAACCGGAGAGAGAGAGAGAGAGAGAGAGAGAGAGAGAGAGAGAGAGAGAGAGAGAGAGAGAGAGAGAGAGAGAGAGAGAGAAAGAGAGATCCTTAAAAACATACTGATTATGTAATCCATTGACTGTTTAGCAAGAGCTAGAGGGAAGAAAGCAAGGTTATGCTTGTTTGCTCTCGTTTGGAACTCGTTCTTTCAGTTGTTGAATAGTTATACCGACAACTATAATTTGCTACGTACGTAAATTTGTTATAGGTTGATTTCCTTATTTGTTCTTTTTGTTATTGCCTGTAAAACAACATGCTATACTATATGTAAGAAAACCCAATAAAACACGCTTGCCTTCTAGCCATACAATAAAGCACATAGCACTGCTAGCACGTGCAAATTTGTGATTTTTTTGCAATGCTTTTCGTGGATTATTTTGGAACAGACTATGCTCTTCTATGTTTTCGAACCTTGGATAAATCGTTAAATGCTCTCGATTGCCCAAGTTTTTTTTCGTCCGCGTTTGAGTGTTATTCTTACCATAGCACTTGAGTACGTGATACCTTTTGTTGGTACACTACGAAAAGTTGACAATGATTGATATGTTTTTATGCAACATTTCACTTTGCGAAGCATATACAGGGAAAACATGCTTCACGGAATTACATAAAAGGCATAACTATTGTGGTTACGCTGACAAATCTCTGCCACTAGAACTCGCCTTGAATAAATAAAAGATAAAAGTACGGGGATCAAAGACCTTCACCATGATGTACGTTGTATTTCGCATTCTGTTGTTGTTGTTAGGCTTAACGCCATTTTTCAGCACACGATAGGCTATTCATGGCGACCAGTATTAATGGTGGAGGAAGAAACCGGGAAATCACCGGAAAGAACCACTGACCCACGAGAAGCTACTGGCAAGCTTTCTCACATATCCACATTCGCCGAATCCTAGACTCAAACTCACGCAGACAGAGGTGAGATGGCAGTGATCCGTAACTGACAGCGCTTTAGACCACTCGGCCACTCGGGCCCCCATGGCTTTCTGTAAGATTGTTCTAAATATAAAGGCAATGTATCATTTATCATTTGAAATTATTATGTTCGGTTAGTAATGAATGTATGGAAGTTCCTTAGGAATCTCGTTACGACTATAGTAATATTAACATCGTTTCCATTATTTATTACACTATATCATGACTATGACCTTAAACTAAGCAGCAGAAAAGATGCGAAACAATCTACATTACCTCATATTCATAAAACAATTTTATTTCATAGAATGCTAGGTGAAATTTTATAAGGAATTTAGACTACTATGAACTAATTAACAAATAGCCTTAAATATTATATATTATATCCAACAGTATAGACTATTCTGAGTGAATTCAAATTGTTTTTTATAAACCGCTCCGGTGGATTAGTGGTTAGAGCATCCACCTCGGATGCGGGAGATCGTGGGTACAATCCCCGATCCAGTCATACCAAAGATTTACAAAAATGGTAATAACAGCTTCCTCGCTTGATGCTCAGCATTAAGAACATAGTGTTTGGACTGGTCTGCTTGGTGTCAGGATAATTTGATTTGATGGGACATCATTCTACATGTCTGAGGCATGATGCGCCAGTGATAGACATCACTATAAACTGCCACACTGTAGACATCGAAGCGATATAACTGAAAAATTGTTAAAGCTACATTAAAAATCATAATCACATGACATATTCCTTAGCCAATCAAATGTATCATGAGCAATATGCGGATTCACATTCATTCTCATATCACTTATTAGCTAAATGGCAAATCTTTGAGGTATCCGATTGCTTAATATGTGATATGCCGCCTTTTTTGTTCATTGTTTGTTGCTAGTTAAACAAGTTAACTTGTATATTTTCGGATAATTCGTCACCATTCAGTCAAGGGGGAGGTGTATGAGACGGAGTCACGATGCAGTAACATAAATTAATCGGTTCCTTTTATTGTTAAAAATACATGATACACAGTTCAACTCAAAAACTTGTGAGCTGGCATATTACTCTTTACTACAGTCATAGGCGATCTATAATGACAAATATTATATTTATGTAAGAAATGTAGGTCACTGAGTTGCCCTACATCAAATGCGCATGACCGTACCAGGTATGCCTATGGAATAGGTTGATCTATACATCCGTCTGCCAGTTCCACGCACGGTTGGCCACGCATTGAATGGTGGAAGGATATATACCGTGGTGTCAAAATGGGCGTGGATGAGGTCCAGGTTTAAGGTTGTAGACTACTACCCATAAATTCATGACTTTTAGTTTCCACGCTGTCTCACGTAGTCCACAATTACGGAGGCACACGCGTGTAAACAGTCTTCAGCAGAGAAGAGCCACTCGGATTCTTGAAGGTATTCAGGGTTGGGAGTAAGTGCTGGAAAATATGGTCTCAAATCCCTAAATCCGCACTTCTAACATTAAAAGTTAACAATCAGAATAATAACAATGAATGTTCAACTGATAATTTTTCTGTAAGACTAAACATGAATGTAACTCTTTTAATATACTCTTGAATGCCGGCTGTTTCCCACAAAGGTGTTATTGTGACATTATAAAAAAAAGTTGACGTATATCAAATTATAGAAGTGGCACTTAAAATTTTGTTTAGGTACAGTTTGCACAGCTATATTAATTTAAGACCGACTAATCAAAAATTATCTGAGATTCAGATGTTTATACAATTTTTAATTTATTAACCATTGCAAACATAAACTATTTTACATTTTGTGTTTTTTTTAGATTACCTTAAAAATGTATGGGGCTTGAATTAAGACTTACGATTATGTTCGATAAGCTTTAAGTGAGAACTTTTTAATGTAATATTAGGCGTTTATAATGATAATTTAAGCATCAGTGTAAATAATATATTTTATTTTAATTCCAATGTAAAGAGGATGCCAGACAAAGAGAAAATGAATATCGATTTTTTTCTACTTATTGCCAAATGACAAAAACATAAACTTTTTTCTAGCAATTCTGTTTATAGTTAATAAACAGATTATTTAATTTTGTAATGTTTAAAGTTAGATTGCTTTTATACGATGATCACTCCATTCTTGCTGTAGATTGTTGTATTTGATTCTTCACAGAAGTCATATGAACAAATTTAAGGTAAGAAATACCTTATTGATGGTGTTATAGATTAATATAAATAATTAAGACGTATTAAAGAAAAGAAATGGAAAGATCTCGTAAGGCATGAAGATGCAGGTAACGGCATGGATTCGTGTAAAAGCGTTTGCACGATTTAGATTTGCCTATTCAATTTCTGCTTAAAATGTTATGTAAGAGCATTTAAATTTTTTTTTTAAAAATGCTTGTGTAATCTGGAGATTAGTATAATCAGATATTGTTGAACAAGAACATCTAAAATATCACATCTATATATAGACTTCAGCTAAATGGATTGGGTCCTGTTCCTTATTAACCTTAATTATCAATTTATTGATAAAGAAGTGAATTGTATTAGTTGGTGACTATGAAGCAGAAATTCTGTGTCATATGAATTGGCCCTTATACCGATAGTTTTGTGATAATTTCTAAATCCCTGACAATAAATGGATACTAGAAATAAGATCTATATAAGATGATAGTGTGTTTAGTCACTTATGTAAAACCATTTTTTTGGCCAATTAACAACTTATGTAGAGCTACGACTTTAAAGATCAACACAGGCTTATTGGAGCGTCAACTAATGATAAAACTGTCAGTCAAAATTTGAAATATTTATATTCAAGTGCTTTATGAATTTAATCTCCTGTCAAAGCAACACAACTTTTCTCACGAAATCAGATTCATCGGTATCTGTAAAACTAGTAGAAAAGTCCTTACAAACCATACATTATATAATGGTAGACATTGGTTGATCTTAGACAAATCGTTCCATGCCAAGATCTATGATTTGCAGTTAACCGTGCACAGCACGAGCTGCAGTGGATATCTATTATAATGCTCTAGTGGACGCAATTGTTTGAACTATTATATAACGAACATCTTTTCTGTTGATTTGAACAAATCAAACAGTTCTTTATGATTTTGTAACCAATGAAGACTTCTATAGAACATAAAAATCGTTCGCGAAAGTATACTGTAACGTTAAACATTATTAGATATACAAAATAGATAATTCGTTATCGCTTGTAAAGAAATTTATGTGACTCATTAAGTTCAACTCTATGCCACTTACTGCAAAATGAACGTCCTACTATTAGACCAGTTTCATAAATTTCGTATCAAATATAATCTGTATATACGTCAACAGATACATTTAGGAAACGAATGTAGTCAATATATAATATTGAACATAGTGTTTAAAATTAATAAGCAATTTATCGTGGGACAAAGTTATTGGTGATCACGAGATATGACTGAGCGAAAGATGCATAAAGGGTTCTGAATGTGTGAAGCATGCAAGAAAGTATAAACATAAGTTAAATACAATACAATGATATGACTTTTTAATTCAAAATAATACAATTTTGAACTCTGTTTAAGTATATGTAGCAGCGTAGATAACAGTAATTTAGAACACACAATATTACCTAACAGTGCAAAGCGACAATAAGTTCACGCACTTACTTTAAAATCTAGGTTGATGTTTTTGCATTTTTAAATGTCAGAAGAAAACTCAAACAGATATAATACGAATTAGATTTTATATTTCTGTACATTATTTCGACGTATTAATTCACCTTTAAATAAACGGTTTTTGGTTTATTCCAAGGACATTTGTTATTAAAAGCAATCAATAGCGATCCTTGTCACTTCCGGATACCTGCACAAGGAAGACTCTCTCTCTCTCTCTCTCTCTCTCTCTCTCTCTCTCTCTCTCTCTCTCTCTCTCTCTCTCTCTCTCTCTCTCTCTCTCTCTCTCTCTCCACAGCTCCAGTGGCCTAGTGATTAGAGCATCCGCCTCGGATTCAGGAGGTCGCGGGTTCGATACCCTGCACAGTCTTACCAAAGACTTATAAAAATGCTACTAACAGATGCCTCGCTAGGCACTCAGCAATAAGTGTTAAGAGTTATCACTAGTCTGCCTAGTCTCGGGATAACTTGATTGGGTGGGACACCATGTTACTTGTTTGCGAAATGATGGCGCAGTGCAAGACATCACTATAAACTACTACATTGTCGACATCGTTGCGATATGATTGACATAATGTTAAAGCTACGTTAAATCTCTCTCTCTCTCTCTCTCTCTCTCTCTCTCTCTCTCTCTCTCTCTCTCTCTCTCTCTCTCTCTCATTAGTGTTTTTGTTTCGGAAAAGACCTAATTCATCTATGTCTAAGAAGTTATAAGGGATCCAAGTTGAATTGAAATTTATAGAGGAGAAATTTCATTAATCATTATAATTCTAATATTTTTTTATGAATGTCTATTGCTTTGCCATGCACTTGTAGACACAAATTTTTGTACGCATTTTCTCTAATTTTGGGCAATTACTTTTTGAATGATATAAACTACTATCCACATCCAAGAATTTAGCACTCAGACAGACATGCAGAAAAGCTTAGTTGTGTACACGACACTGGTCAATTGTACTTTTCCTTTTAATATACCACTGTATCTTCTGGAATCGGATGACCTGAATTTTTTTTTAGCAGATTAAAGTTTGATCAAAAATAGTTGACCTATTGAAGAAATGTAATCACATGACTGTTCGTCTATGTGCACGTGTTATAAAATATGCCGCAAACCCATTACACTTTGTTGGAGATAAATATGCCAGAAGTTACTATAATTGAGGATGATCTTTAAATCTTTACACTAATTCGGACTGGCAAGAAAAGTTTATTGTTGGAACAAGAGAAAGGTTCGGTAGTCGATGGGTGGGAACGTTTGGTCTTCAGTTCACAGTGTGGTCTGTTTTGTAAATACATGTATTATGATCAGACTGATAAATCACATTTTGTACAAGACTTTATTTCCAATTAGACCTATTTCGGGCCCTTCGTATCTTTATGAGCGTCATATTCATGGATCACTTAGATAAGTCAGTAATTACATAGATGTATTGCGAATGTATTACCTTAAAAACTCTTTAACATTTTTAACCATTGAAGGAAAATTTATCCGGCACGCTTAAGACAATTAATTACGGAATTTTAATCCAATCTTTGAGCATCATTCTTGAGTTTCCAAGAAACCAAGTCTCGATGCAGAAATATATTTTATAAATGTAATCCGTTCTTAGTGCATCATTCATGCATTTCTAAGAAAAAGCCCTTGATGCAAAAATGTAAAATGACATTAAAATTACTGACTATAAAAGACACAGAAAATATTCCTATATTATTACTTAGTTAAGATTTATTGAACATCTGTTTTCTTTTTAGAATTGCATTTATAAATGCATGTGTACGTTCAAGGTAATTACTGATAACGAATCTAATGTTATGCAACTTTTCAGGTTGTTGTTGTTGGGCTTAATGCCATTTTT